GTGAGAACTGTTGGTTAATATGAAGAAGAGAACAGATAATAGAAACCAAAACAAAAACAACAGTAGTGAGCACAGCACATCAATCTTTTCTTTCCCTTACACTGCAAAACGTGCAACACAAGCAAAAGTTGCAGCTATTTTGCTTATAGAACAAAACAATCTGTGTAAAGTGGGGAGCAATAAAGCAAATTTATTGCTCAATTTTTTATGAGCAATTTCCTGTTCAAGCAGCCCCCACTTTACATAATAATTCTTGCCTTTCCCTTTTTTTTTTCCTTTGGTTTATTAAATTTAAATATATTTTTATTATCAAGGCTAATAATCATAATTTATATATTTCTTAGAAATTATATATATTACATTAAGTAAAAAAATATTTATAAAAAATGCAATTATTACATAAGATAAATGTAATATGATAATGAGGAATATTATTTTTAGTTACCATGCGAGGAAGAGAGATATAGAGACAGGACAGAAAGCCCAAAGATGTGATTTGACCATGAAGTGGTTTGATGTGGGCTACGTTTGTAGGTGAATTGGGCTTTTAGATTTATCTTAGGTTAGGCCCGTTTGTAGATGTGTATTTGTGGTTACTAACGCATAGAATTTATTATTTTTTTCGGTACAAAATAAGGAGGCCTAAGGCCTAGGAAAGTGATGAGTCTAGGATTCTCTGGGACGCGACACCCCGACAAGATCATGAGCAATCCATGCACCCAAACCGGAGGGAGGAGAAGTCATACGCTGCATCCCCAAGTAGAGGAAAACGTCAAGCTCGACATAAAGTCGGCCGCATAATTAGCTTTCATGTGCACATGTTGAATCCTCACTCGCCAATCTTTTTGCAACAAGCTGCGAATAGCCTTGATCAAAGCATCATTAGCGCCAAAACTATCTCCGGGCCCAACCACCACTCTCACAACGCACTGGCTATCAACCTCGTCGATAATTTGGCGGAAGCCAACTCCCAAGCCAATTGTAAACCTGGAAAAGCCCCCAAAGCTCGGTTTCCGTTATGGTGGTGTAACCAACATTCATGAGGAAGCCTGCGACCCATCTACCCAACTCATCCCGAATCAAACCGCCAACACTACTCTGGCCTGTGTTGTTCTGAAAGGTTCCGTCTGAATTCACTTTGACCCAACCTGGCTCAGGTGGCGCCCAACGAATCTGTCGTGTAATATACACGTCAGCCCCAACCTTCCGAAACGCAGCCGTTCCCGATGTGCATAGAATTTATTATAAATCAATAACTTCTCAGTTAAATTCAAAATTTAAGCTTTTACTTAATATATTCCCAACCCCCTAGACCCCAACCTGTTGGGAATATACTGGGTATATTGATGTTGATGATGTTGATGTACTTAATATATTCCCAATCATTTTTTTTTTTTTTGGCATGCTGTGTAGGTAAACATCAAAGATAATTTTTGCAGATATATCTATTATAGTGTACATATAACACTAAATAGAGTGCTAGACACCCGCCCACGGGGGTTAAACCGTGTTTAGATCATGATAACTTAGGGGTTTCTTACCCTCGCAATATTGTAGTCTAAGGCTTCGGCCTCCTTATTTGCACCAAAAAAAAGAGTGCTAGATAGCTAGCTTATGATTTTGGAAGACAATATTGCTTCAATCTATGTAACAAGGCCATTGCTCAAGAGCACTATTAATAAAACATACATACCATTTACAACATCATTTGCACAAAAACTGCTCTTCTTCTGCCTTTTTAACATAAACAGATGACGAGAAAAGCTGTAGCAAACCATTACATAAACCAAAAAAAAAAAA